AAATAGACGTATGAGTGCTGCCAGCATTGCTGCAGAGGTTGAAGGGGTGGGGGGTCAGCCTGTCAGTGCTCAGACCATACGCTGCACACTGCATCAAATTGGTCTGCATGGCTGTCAGGTGAGGAGTACAAAGACAAGTGCGTCTTGCCTACAGTCAAGCCTGGTGGTGGGAGTGTCATGGTCTGGGGCTGCATGAGTGCTGCCGGCACTGGTGAGCTACAGTTCATTGAGGGAACCATGAATGCCAACATGTACTGTGACATACTGAAGCAGAGCATGATCCCCTCCCTTCGGAGACTGGGCCGCAGGGCAGTATTCCAACATGATAACGACCCCAAACACACCTCCAAGACGACCACTGCCTTGCTAAAGAAGCTGAGGGTAAAGGTGATGGATTGGCCAAGCATGGGCATCCTCAAACGGAAAGTGGAGGAGCGCAAGGTCTCTAACATCCACCAGCTCCGTGATGTCGTCATGGAGGAGTGGAAGAGGACTCCAGTGGCAACCTGTGAAGCTCTGGTGAACTCCATGCCCAAGAGGGCTAAGGCAGTGCTGGAAAATAATGGTGGGCGCACAAAATATTGACACTTTGGGCCCAATTTGGACATTTTCACTTAGGGGTGTACTCACTTTTGTGGCCAGCGGTTTAGACATTAATGGCTGTGTGTTGAGTTATTTTGAGGGGACAGCAAATTTACAGTGTTATACAAGCTGTACACTCACTACTTTACATTGTAGCAAAGTGTCATTTCTTCAGTGTTGTCACATGAAAAGATATAATAAAATATTTACAAAAATGTGAGGGGTGTACTCACTTCTGTGAGATACTGTAGCTCTGAGAGTAAAAACAAAACTTTGTGGTTGAAAACATATGGGAGGAGTCTACACTGAACATGGGAACCCTGTTGTTCTATAAATGGTATTTACTGTCTCACAGACGCTAGTGGCCTGCCAGTTACAGCAATTACAGATCGTGCCATACTTTTTGTAGACATGCGTGAATGGATGGATGGTAATACCATAGTACTTTGATGTAGCTCATGGCACTGAATAACAGTTATCTACATGTATTCACCTGTTACTCCAAGTTACTTAAAGATTACCATGAAATCTCTATGATATATAACAAAAAAAAAACCCTTGGTGCCATGTCCAAAACATAGATAGATAGATAGATAGATAGATGGATAGATAGATAGATAGATAGATAGATAGATACTTTTACAATTAATTAATTTTACAATTACCAGACAATCATATAGGCCTATCTAAAAATATGAATTGACGGTTTTTACCGGACCAGGGTATCTGCAGGATATTTAAGCTCATATTTAAGACTTTTTAAGACCTGCACAAATAAAATAAAAATGACTGTAAAAAGCATGATTTAGAGTTCAGATACAGGTTTTCACAAAAACAAAAAGTTTTTTTTTTTAATTATTAACTTCACATTTCAGCCTTTAAACTTTTTTTTTAAAGAAAACTGAGGCAAAGGTATCAATTATTATATTCATTTAAACAATTATTATAGCCAATTAATTAAATAACATATGAATATATGCTACTATAATGCATTATCTTCTTGTCCACTAGTTCACATTTACAACTCTGCGTGTTTTCTGCTTAAAAACATGGGTTGATTTTCACATTGGTCTGAACAAAAACAGCAGAAGGGCTGATTGAAAATGCAAATTCATTCTCTGCCAGCAGGAGGTGCTTTCGGATTTGCAAATTTTTTCGGTTTGCAAAACGCCGCACAGTTTTTGTACTGGAAATTTGTGGAAATTTGGAGCTCTTTGGCTCTGGAATCAGAAGAGTGTTGGCGACTTTTACACACCATGCGCCTCAGCACTCTGTGACCCGCTCTGTGACTTTACATGATCTTTCACTTCATAGCTGAGTTGCTTCTGATCCTAAACACTTCCACTTTCCAATACTTAGTTGACAGTAGAATATCTAGCAGGGATGAAATTTCACCAACTGACGTATTGCAATGGTAGCAATCCTCTCACAGTACCACACTTGAATTCACTAAGCTCTTCTGAACAACCTATTTTTGCACAAATGTCTGTAAATGCAGACTGCATAATTAAAGCTTGATTTTACAGTAAACACCAGTGGCAATGTGTCTGATTAAAACACATGAATTCAGTAATTAAGAGGTGTGTCCCAATACTTTTGTCCATATAGTATAGTATAGTATAGATAGATAGATGAGAGGAACAGATGAGAGGTATCAGGGGTTTTGCACTTTTGCCCTCTGCGTGTGTGTGCGTGTGTGTGTGTGTGTGTGTGTGTGTGTGTGTGTGTGTGTGTGTGTGTGTGTGTGTGTGTGTGTGTGCAGTAGAATTGCTCCATTGGGATCATGAGCGTCTCCAGTCACTCCAGAGCTGTGTCATGCTGCAGCTCTTGGTCACGCTGGCAAAACATTAATACCACTTTTGTTGTTGTTTATTTTTCATTGAATGAGGGCAGTAATTAGCCTTTTGAATCACGGTGCACTACAGGTGTTACACTACACGGTGTTACAGTTAAACACATCTGGAGTCTGAAACCAGCTACCACCAGCTTTGCTATAAGATAAACTGTGCGTTACGCAGATAATGATTTGTTGTAACACTCAGTGCTCTTCTAGTAAAAAAAAAAAGCCTAATCAAATGTATTATTATGATCATTGACTCTCTGAAACACAAGCATATACTGCAGTCAATCTTAATCAGAAGTGTGTAGGCGATCCTCAAGTGATAATTCACTGCAGCTAAAGTCTTTTATTACAGCTGATGCAATGATTGTTGTGAGAGAAAGCACCTGCAGAAGTAACCGAGTCAATATTGACCATATTGGTTAGAGCCACCATGACGTAGCCGCCACATAATGGCCGCTCTGGAAGGACAGGGAGGCACTGAGTCAACATGCAGTATCCTTCCCTCGACCTCAATGCAACCTCACTTCACAATAGAGCTGAACCACACTCACAGTGCAGGCCCTCAATGGAAACATCGCTGACATTTATCTGTGGGAGAAAAGTGACATTTTAAACCTTTTCTGGGTCAGCGACTAGAAATATCAGTTTCGCCTAAAAAAAAACCATTAAATTTAAATTAAATATAAATAAAATAAACTAAAAATGACATAACATAAAATAATATGAAATAAAGATTTTTCTTTATTAATATTAATAAAGAATTCTTTCAAATTTAATTAATTATTTTAAAATATTAAAGACTCATAAAGATTTTCACTTTACTTTAGATACCTAAAATTGCCTAGTCTAGGCCAAATAAACTAAATAAAAATAAATAAAATAAAATAGATACATAGATATATAAAATAATATGAAAAAAAATGAAATAATATATAAAAAATAATACAAACATAAAATAAAGAATAAAAAACAAAACAAAAAATAAATAAATACAATTTATGTTAATGAATAATTAAAATGAAATAAATGAATTAAAAAGAATTAGTATACCGGAGACTCCATTGACTTGTTGTATTGATTGAGGACTATACTGTCTAAACAATTCAAATTAAATTAAATTTTAATAATAACATTTAAAATAGATGTAAATAAATAAATGCCTGCCAAATGTCTAACAATATTTTTGTTTGCTTTTTGCTTTGCTTTTTGTTTTGTTTTGTTTTTTGTAGCTTTGTTTAAACCAATCAAGTGGCACATTGTCGTCTCATTGGCTGGTTGTGTTGATTGACAGGTGCTGTGGCCAGTGCGTTGGTGAAGCAGAAACTGGCGCAGGTGATCCTGAAGAAGCAGAAGGCGGTGCTGGAGAGGACCAACTCCAACCCTCTGAGCAGCCCGTCGGTAGCCTACCGGTTAGAAACAGCTCTCATTACCGCACACAGCTGTTTAAGTGCACACGCGCACAGACTCATGTGCTTTTCCTCAGATTTTAAAATAAAGGTCTTCTGTGTTCCCACAGCGAGCTGGTTCCAGATCCCAGCTCTTCTGTCCAGCCGCTCCTGTCCTCCACAAAAACAGCTCTCAGCGAAGGGCCCGACGAACCACCCCTGAGACGAGCGAGTATGTCACCGTCACACATGCATATAAACAACATCACATGACAGTTCATTCATCAAAGCGTGACATCACCAGATCACCTGAGAACGGGCGGCGCTGTGTGTTTGGGTGAGAGGCAGGGCCTGTCCTTCAGCAGGTGTGCTGTGTGGAAGCGTTCCAGTGCCACTGCCCCGTTCAGACAAACTCCCAGCGCCTCGCTCTTCCTCCAGGCAGCAGTCTGTTAACAAGGCCTTGCGTAACAGAGAACACTCCCCTGTCAGCCCCACAGCCAAAACACAGCGCCTCATTATGTCATAATAACTCTGACTGGACGTCCAGTTACTTGCATGAAGCCGCAGAGTTTAAAAGTCTTTGTTCTGCTTTTGTAGTGCTAATTGTCACTATAATTATTGCTCGTATTTTCATGGGTTAAGGATTTGCTTTAAAACTGTAAAAGTCTCTTCACACCAACATAAATGTGCAGCACAAAACCTCACAGTCGATTTGTCTGTTCAGACCAAAGCAGACAGACTGAATGAAAATGCAGATTCACTCTCTGACAGTAGGCGAAATAAAGAAATAAGGAAAGGAAGTTAATAGAATAATAAATTATTAATAAAAGAAACTGCAGACAGACTAAATGAAAATAAATAAAAAAAAAATGAATAAAATAAATATTAGTAAAATAAATGGTAGACAGACTGAATGAAAATGCAAATGTACTCTCTACACAGTACATTTGAAATCTGGAAAACAACACCATGAGAGTTCATTTCAACACTTTGAAAGTGTATATATGAGAACCACCCACAAAGTACTAGATTAAATAAAGAAGTTAATAAAATAATAAAAATAATATTTATTAATAAACTATACAGCAGACAGACTGACTGAAAATGCAGATTCACTCTCTGTCAGTAGGTGAAAATGAAATAAATAAAAATAATAAAATACAATTAATATTGTTAAAATTAAATGAAAATGCAGATTCACTCTGACAGTAGGTGAAAAAGAAATAAATAAAAATAATAAAATTAATATTGTTCAAATGAAATGAAAGTGCTGATTCTCTCTCTGACAGTAGGTGAAAAAGAAATATAAAATTAATATTGTTAAAATGAAATGAAAATGCAGATTCACTCTGACAGTAGGTGAAAAATAAATAAATAAAATTAATAAAATTAATATTGTTAAAATTAAATGAAAATGCAGATTCACTCTAGAAATAAAGAAATAAAAAGAATAAAATAAATAAAAATAATAAAAATTATATTGTTAAAATTAAATGAAAATGCAGATTCACTCTAGAAATAAATAAATAAAAAGAATAAAATGAATATTATTAAAATGAAATGAAAATGCAGATTCACTCTCTGACAGTAGCTGAAAAAGAAATAAATAAAAAATAATAAAATAATAAAATTAATATTGTTAAAATGAAGTGAAAATGCAGATTCACTCTCTGACAGTAGCTGAAAAAGAAATAAATAAAAAATAATAAAATAATAAAATTAATATTGTTAAAATGAAGTGAAAATGCAGATTCACTCTCTGACAGTAGCTGAAAAAGAAATAAATAAAAAATAATAAAATAATAAAATTAATATTGTTAAAATGAAGTGAAAATGCAGATTCACTCTCTGACAGTAGCTGAAAAAGAAATAAATAAAAAATAATAAAATAATAAAATTAATATTGTTAAAATGAAGTGAAAATGCAGATTCACTCTCTGACAGTAGCTGAAAAAGAAATAAATAAAAAATAATAAAATAATAAAATTAATATTGTTAAAATGAAGTGAAAATGCAGATTCACTCTCTGACAGTAGCTGAAAAAGAAATAAATAAAAAATAATAAAATAATAAAATTAATATTGTTAAAATGAAGTGAAAATGCAGATTCACTCTCTGACAGTAGCTGAAAAAGAAATAAATAAAAAATAATAAAATAATAAAATTAATATTGTTAAAATGAAGTGAAAATGCAGATTCACTCTCTGACAGTAGCTGAAAAAGAAATAAATAAAAAATAATAAAATAATAAAATTAATATTGTTAAAATGAAGTGAAAATGCAGATTCACTCTCTGACAGTAGCTGAAAAAGAAATAAATAAAAAATAATAAAATAATAAAATTAATATTGTTAAAATGAAGTGAAAATGCAGATTCACTCTCTGACAGTAGCTGAAAAAGAAATAAATAAAAAATAATAAAATAATAAAATTAATATTGTTAAAATGAAGTGAAAATGCAGATTCACTCTCTGACAGTAGCTGAAAAAGAAATAAATAAAAAATAATAAAATAATAAAATTAATATTGTTAAAATGAAGTGAAAATGCAGATTCACTCTCTGACAGTAGCTGAAAAAGAAATAAATAAAAAATAATAAAATAATAAAATTAATATTGTTAAAATGAAGTGAAAATGCAGATTCACTCTCTGACAGTAGCTGAAAAAGAAATAAATAAAAAATAATAAAATAATAAAATTAATATTGTTAAAATGAAGTGAAAATGCAGATTCACTCTCTGACAGTAGGTGGCACTTACAGAAAAAGCAGCACAAACAAAGGGAGTCACAGAAAAGAAAGGCAGTCAAACAGTAGTTACATGTTTTCAAACAGCAATTCAGATTTTTTATTTATGATACAACACCAAAACACAACAGTACTTCCTCTGTTATTCATTGTCACTTAGGGACCAGAATATGATTCTGACAATGGCAGTCAGCAATCACCAGAAAGAGTTCAATTGTAACTCTCTCAGTCAGTTTTCAGCGTAGAACGTGTTGCAGTAGAGCCAGTTTTCAAGTAGTCCTTGAGAGAGTTTCCAAATACTTGACCTGTCCACTTCATATCAGTTCAGTGCCGTCTGTCGGGATCACTTTGCGCTCGATGGTCAAACGAGGAAACGTTGAACATGATGCTGCGCAGAGCCATGTCATTTACTGGTAACGATGAGTAAGTACAGCTGGATTTAGTTTTCAGCACGTCCTCTGCCAGAACTAGTGTTTTTACAGTGACAAATACAATTACCAGGAAGTACAGCAGAGATTTCAGAACCTTACACACAGAGCTGCAACTGTGTGATCAAACAGAGAGGAAGTAGAAGCTGTGCTGTGCAAAACTACATCTAAATCAACTGTTTGGTGGGTTATATGAATAAGAAGTCGACTGGTTGGTCTTTAAAGGGATAGTTCACTCAAAAATGAAATTTCTGTCATTTACTCACCCTCGTCTTCTAAAGGAAACGATATTTTGATGAAATCTGGGAGATTTCTGTCAGTTGAAATCAAGACAATTGAAAGTCAATTCCACCTAAACCTAGACACTTCAAAAAGCTTGTAAAGACATTGTGAAAGTAATCCATATGAATCAAACAGGTTTAAGTATTCGGAAGAAACGTGATCACTGTATATGTTGAACAGATTTAATTTAGGCTTTTATTCACAAATAAACATTGATCAGAACATACAAAGCGTAATTGAACATTTTTTGGAAAAAAAACGAAAAAGGAGCCGTTTTCTCATTTTTCTACTTTCAATATTAAATCAAAAAACGAATGATCGAATGATACACGGATTTGTATTGTTTGTTTGTTTGTATTATTTAATTTTATAGCACCGTATAATTACTATGTTCCTTGTCCAAGGTGCTTTACAATTAAAAAATAAAACTAAATACCAGCAAAAATAAATAAATAAATCGTTTTATTGCACAAATGAGCTACAACAGAACCTGCAGAAGTACAGCAAGTGATCTAGAATGACCCAAACTGACTGAAAGCTTCATTTTGGTTACACTGTTGTTGTTTTGTTCTTGTTGCAGCCTCAGAGCCCAACCTGAAGGTGAAGCATAAATTAAAGAAGCACCTGAACACCCGTAAGAGCCCGCTGACCCGCAAAGAGAGCGCGCCGCCCGCCGTCAAACACCGCGTTCCTGATACGCTGGGTAACTACAACACGCTACCTCTGCTTTTGAGATCTGTTGTTATTATTAGACGTAGTCATACTGTATAAATGCCTGGATACTTTATTTAGCTTGTTTTTTTTATTTTTGTGAAAATTAAATGTTGTTTAGGTGTATTTTCTTGCTTTCTATAGTACATCATTTATAAGAATTAACAAAACTATATGTTCTCATGTAGACCTCCTGTCAGCTAAACTGGCATTGTTACTGTACATACTGTAGGTATATTCATTTAGCACGAGCATGCAGTTTTAAGGCATAGTCATTTTAATGCATCCCTCATGTCGTTCCAAACCCGTAAGACTTTCATTCATCTTCAGAACTCAAATTAAGATATTTGAATGAAATCTGAGAGATTTCTGTCCCTCCATTGATAGTCTACACAACTACCACTTTGACACTTCATAAAGTCCATAAAGAGATCGCAAAACGAATCCATATGAATGTTTAGCGGTTTAGTCCACATTTTCTGAAGAGACTTGATCGCTTTATATGATGAACAGATTTAATCTAGTTGCATAGACTGTCAATGGAGGGACATAAATCTCTCAGATTTCGTTCAAATATCTTCATTTGTGTTCCGGAGATGAACGAAAGTCTTACGGGTTTGGAACGACATGAGGGAGAGTAAACGATGACAGAATTATAATTTTTTTGGGTGAACTGTCCCTTTAATACATGCATTGATGTGCCGGCCATGTTTAAACTGACAGATGTGTGTGTGTTGCTCTCAGATTCGTCCCCCAGCAGCAGTAGCACTCCAGTGTCCGGCTGCAGCTCTCCAAACGACAGTCTGCCCAATGAGAACGGAGTGCTGCCCGCCACCGCCAGCCTGTCCCATGAGGTAACAGTCCACTCCTCAGCCCAGTCTCGAAGGTGTATCTTGGCTTCCTTATAATGGGAAGCTCTGGTAATGCAATTATAAATCATAACAATTATGGAAATGGCTCATTATGTAATGAAGTAGTCGGTGCAGTTTAAATGAGTTTAGCTTCTCCCTTTTTTTAAATTACAAACTTTTTTTGTGGAGAGGACAAACTGAACACACACAGAGAGAGAGAGGCATGATGGGACAGTTCTTTAATATTCCTCTGGTGGGTGTTGTTTGTTTGGGGCGTTGGTTGAGAAAGCGAGCTCGACAGGGCTTGTTTCAGGAGGTTCCTGCTTCGCGCCTCCCTTTGGCATAATGACATGTTTTAAACAAAGACACTGGAGAAGGACAGCTGCAGGCAGCTGCCAGGACACCCAATCTCCCGTTTCCATCCAAAGCCTCCTAATCGCTTTATTACTCCACACTCCTCCATTTTTGGGCTTGCATAAATGCACAGCTCTCTGATGGGTCGCACACTGGAGCCTCGTCCGCTCGCACGCAACAGTTGATCACAGAGGTTTTTTATTAAGGGTCAATATTTTCCCCATGGAAATTTTGTAACTTTTATGACGGCATTTTTTTTTTCTTTCAAATTCCTTAGCTAACAAAATATCATTATTACTTCAGCTGCATCAATTAATTGAATTAAATTCTCGGTAAAACTTTAGCTTTGGGACCAATTCTCACTATTAACTAGTTGTTTATTAGCATGCATATTAGTAGCATATTGGCTGTTTATTAGTACTTATAAAGCACATATTAATGTGTTATTCTGCATGACCATATTCAGATCCCTTAATCTCTACCCCATACCTAAACTTAACAACTACCTTACCAACTATTAATAAGCAGCAATTTAGGCGCTTATTGAGGCAAAAGTCTTAGTTAATAGTGAGAGTTGGTCCCCAAACTAAAGTGTGAACAAATTTTATTGCTGATTATTATAAAAACAAATCAACATCAAATATAAAGGTAGCTGTAAATTATATGCAAGAATAACGCTTTGATGAAATAAAAATAATAATAACAAAATAAATACATAAGACTGCATATTCTAAATATATAATAAAAAAGTACATATATTCTAAAAAAAACTCAACTGTCTACTTTTGTGATAGATTTTAGTGTAATCACTGGTCCAAGTTTTTGAGTTCACATTCAGTGTGTTCAGAGCTGATTTTAGTTGCTTTTCATTTTAAAAAACATTGCATATTAGCAACTTTTGCCCAAAACTAAGTCTACTGAGAATAATAGTAATCGAATATTTCAAATTATAGACAACAGATATGAAACAAATTTAAAATGTTGACTATCTAGGGTTAATTTTTTTTCTAGGGCTTTTGTTAATTTTAGCTGCATTTCCCCCCTAATTCCTGTGTGATTTTGTCCCTGGTGCGTGTGTCTGCGTGTGTCTGTGCGTGTGTGTGTGTGCGTGTGTGTGTGTGTGTGTGCGCGCGCGT